AGAATCTCCAGGGGTCAACGCAGCCGTTCTTGGACATGAAGTCAGAAAGAGTTTTTGACATGAGTGATGCGGTCAGCGTTTTAGGAGAAGAACGATCTAGACTGGGATCGACAACAAGGTTCATATCCCCTCCAAATATAAGCAGGTTATTATGCAGTGACGGAAGACATTCAAAAAGTTTGTTCATGAAGTGTGGGTTATCAAAATTTGGGGCATAAATATTGACTAACAATACAGGAACATGAAACAGCGTGCCTGAGATAATTAAATATCTGCCATTGTCATCCGCTATACACTTGGAAGATGTGAAATTAACAGACTTACCAATTAAAATGGCAACCCCTCTGGACTTAGAGTTGAAGTTTGAATGGAACACCTCAGAAACCCATGGACACTTAAGCCTGACCTGATCTGTGGAGCGCATATGGGTTTCTTGTAGAAACAGTCTGCATTAAGTCGTTTCAGATGAGCAAATACCCTGGATCTCTTCAAGGGGCTCCCCATACCTTTAATGTTCCAGCTTACAAACTTCACTGGTGAGCCAGTAGGAGCGATTCCTAAATTGCTAGTATTGGTAGACATTTACTGAGGACTTTCTATAAAGAGAGAACTGACTATGAAGCACCACCCCGAAAGAGACATAGAGGGAAACACAGCAATAGAAAAAATAAATTAAATTAAATTAAAAAAACACACAGTAAACAATCCCAGCCCCTCCCACCCATCCCATAGCACTTACATCGACCCCATCCCCAAACGATGGAGAACCCAGTGCTAACTCCACAAGGAGTAAAATTCCTATGGCTAACAGCTTGTGACCTAATAGTGAAAGCTAAACTTAGGTAAACTTGGGTTAAGCTCCTGCAAACTTGAGATTGATATAGAGCAAGGCACTTATAACCAGATCAACTTCCACATACAGAGAACTTGGTGTATGGATTTAAGTAAAATAAAGAGTAAATAATTGTTACACACACACACACACACACACACACACACACACACACACACACACACACACACACACACACACACACACACACACACACACACACACACACACACACACACACACACACACACACACACACACACACACACCATTTGTATTGTATTATTGAATGAGAGAGGTTCCAGGTTTAATTGAGGCGAATATTTGTAATGTTCAGAAGTTGTTGTGTTTAATATTCATGAGAATATTTGTCATTGTTCAATTGATAATAAATAAACATTAGCATAAAGCATATTTGTCCACTCATATGTTGATAAGAGTATTAAAAACTTGAAAAATATTCCTCTAAGTTACATTTAGAACAGATAAAAAATGTGCGATTAATTTGCGATTAATCGCGATTAACTATGGACAATCATGCGATTAATCGCGATTAAATATTTTAATCAACTGACAGCCCTAATATATATATATAAAATAGTGTCATTAAATAATGCTGTCAGATAAATGAAGTACACAGTAATAGTCAAGGTTATATTCAATATTCTGCACTTACACCAGCTCAGCGCCATATAGATAGATATGGCGCTGCACCAACTGATAAGATATTTAAAACGTCTTTTGTTTGTCCTGAAAACGACATTTGAGAATACACACAGGCTATTTATAGATGATAAAACACCAGTAATACAATCTCAGGACTCTTCGATATGGCTTTGATTACAGGATCGTTTACTTTCAGTCAACAAATCCTTTGGAAAGACAAAAAACAACTATTCAATATCCTGCTTTGCCGCGAAGAGCTACGTTCTTGCGTAATGCGGAAGTGGGCATGGTTCAATCTAAACTGGGTTGGAAAAACCATAGACGCGGTCGGGACACGTAACATGAACGTGCCGGGCTGTGCGGTCCCGTGGGTTAGATGCGCGTTCATAATGCAGAGGGAAATAACTCTCAGAATAACGTTATTAGCACATTTTTACAACTTGAGGAACGAATGTTTTTAATAAGGGCTATACAAGTGTTCATACTGGGTAGTTTATTTAGTTTCAAACAAATTATCCAACGATTTACAGACCACTCTTTCCCAATGTAAGTCAATGGAAAAAAGTGTTTCCGGGCCTGGCAACCAAACGGAAGTGTAGTACCACCGTTTGGCCACAACGAATATCTTCATCTGAGTCCGGCGCACTTCCTGGGGGCTTGCGGCGAAGTCCCTCCCCTTCCGGAGGACCTCCATGGGACCCTATTTCGGAAAAAGTGTGTATTGAAGTCGATTCTTTCACACACATATACGGGTATTGGGCCGAGCGCGACACCGTACTTCCGGTCTGCGCCGTTTTACGCGAGGTGCAAGCAGCCGTACACCGTCTAGGTGTTGCTAAACTTCCTGTACTGAATATCATAGTCTATTGCCTTAATCAATATCTAGTCAACTCTAAAATACCACATATATGCAATGGCATGATAATATTATTGTGACAAGTGGGGTATTCACCTGGTGTTTCCAGAAATTAGACTTAGATGCAGCCAAAATCGACGAAGGCCACTGTCGTTTTTCCATACATCTGCAGGCAGTCTGTAACAACCCACACAGCTCTAGTTTACGCTGGTAACGACCTAGAGCACACCCCTCAAGTCCAGAGATGTAATCCGAATACATGCAGCGATTTCTTCGGTCGTTAATTCAGAAAAAAAACCTACTGCGCTCTGCCTGGCTACGTTAGCTAGCTGTTTATATTAGCACCTCCAGGATATTAGCACCTCCAGGAAAATGGCGCATTTATATATATTTATATGGTGCGTGTTGCATTGTGGGTAGCTCGTGACGTCACTGTGTGTGAAAGAATGGAGAGAGAAAGATTATCTTTTGATCCCGTTTGAATTGTGCAACGAATTACACATATGATGTTTGTCAATTTAATAAAAATGTGCCGTAAAACTGTGAAGTAACACATTTTTTTGTGTGAAGCGCTCAATGAACTACATCTCTGGTCTCGCATACGTGTCCAACACCAAGATGGCCGTCACGTTAGCACATTTCACCTCTTTCTTTCAGAATGAGGAGAAAAGTATTAAAAGAGGTGAAAATCACTACAAGTCTGGCCATGTTGAGAGCTGTACATACACACAAGGGGAGTTAGTTGGTTGCAGCATGCAGGAACGGCTTTACAAGGTTTCGGTGAGTAACACGAGTGTAATGTGTAACGTTAATGTCAGCTAGCTAAAATTCACCTACGCGACTCTGGGATTTGTAGTCTTTCGAGTTGCTTATTTTTCATAGTCTTATATTTCAACAAATATTTAAGACAAACTGTGACCTTTTTGACATGGAAATTATTTGTTAAGATTGACAAACATCATGTGTAATTCATGGCACAATTCAAACGGGATCGAAAGATAATCTTTCTCTCTCCATTGACTTCAATACATAATTTTTCAGAAATAAGGTCCCATGGGGCGGAAGTAGATGGGCGTGACTTCTGCCTATGCCAAGGGCTGGCCCTGCTGACACACACCACACACACACACACAGAGAGACAGTAAGTACTTCATTTTTGCTTCTGTGACAATATATTCATTTAATGCAAAGCAAAATGTATTAAACAAATATGTCTTTAAACATTGGTGACACAACTTACAACATTCTTAAAGGTTAAACAGATTTAAGGGCTGTTCAATTTAGTACATCACAACTTTTGCAGCATTTTCACTTCCTCCTAAACAGTCCTATATGTTCTTATATTTCCACTTCCTGTCTGGGAGCAGCATGCTAGCAGCTCTGTGAGGATTACATTATGTAGTATGGAGCTTTTAGCTAAGTGCTAACACCACCATGCTAACAGGTTCACAACTCTCACATTCTAAAGCTAATCAGGTATCATGTAACCATGTTCATCATGTGTGTGAGCAAGCTAACATTAGATATTAGTAGTAAACCTTGCCAAAGCAGATTGAATGTCATCAGTTCTTCATGCATTTGGTTTTAGAACAAAGTATTAACACCACTTATATCATTTCTGAAGCATAAAAAGGCAATCTCCAGAAGTAAAAAGCTGACATTAGGCTATAAACAAATTGTGATGACTCAACATCACGTCTAAAGGTTGAAAGCTAATGTTCAGCGTTAGCAACCACTGTTTTTTAGGCCTCGTTTTTGCACCACTCCAAGAAGCCTTTTTTATGTTTCTATGTTACCTGAAGGCTAACCTATTTCTCCGGCACAATAACCAACTGCAGTAACTCCAGCCTCTGCCTGAATGAGTAGAGTTGAGGTGAGGATGGCCTCAGGGAGATGATGGTTCAGTAAGAAAGAAACCACACTGTAGGCCTAGCATGGTTTTTTAATAGGCCTCTTTAACCACAGGGCTAAACTGAGGGGATTCATTTAGCAATCTGAACGCTAGATGCAGACAAATTCCTTACACTATCCCTTTAGTGCTGAGATCTAGAGATGATTAACCAATTTCAAATAAACCTCAACTTAAATGACCTGAAAATTCTTTCTTTGCCCAATGTCACATCTTCTTCTGTACAGCTGAAAGGGGGAGCTCACACATCACATGAGAGGTGAAACTGCTTGACATTTAAGGCCTGAGGCGGTTCATTACTCATTCGTAGAGACTCCTGACGTCTACTCTGATATTGATATAGTGGGGAGTATTGAACATTTCAGCCACTTTGCTTACTTATTTAATTCTAGAGTTTAGCTGTGACCAGCAGCTCCATGGCTCCCTCTGTTGGTGGACACAAACACTGTGTTAGTCATTAAGAATCTATCTTGAAGAGCTTGCTCTATAGACGTAATGTAATATGTTATCTTTCCCCAATAAATGATACAAAAATGTATATAAACTATTTTACAGTAGAGTCAGTATGGGCAGAGGTAATGATTGAGATCACTTTCAATGTACCCATTGTATGCGAGTGTTGCATTCAATGTATTGCATGTTGTAAAGTTTCCATGGAATTATTCTTTGCAGAATGTTTCCACTCATCCCAACGGCTTCTTGTTTCCAGCAGTCCCACTTTCAAATCAAACAAGGCATATTTATGTTTGGACGTTTATTCAATACACTGTGTACAAAAAAATTCAACTGAAAATACGACTGTATGAATGTGTATTCTGTATTCATACAATCGTTTCATAATGAACCCATCTAAAAAGGGCCAAAGGTCTCAAGATTGCATCAAAATAAAATAAAAAACACAGACGGTGGAGGGAGCAACAAGAACCAATACATTCTTACCGTCCCACAAGAGACACAAAGGTCAAAGTTTTCACAGAAAACGTTCCATATATCTGACCCACAGATAACACAGAGTACACGCAGCAGCAGCAGCAGCGGCTGCTTCTGAAGCGTTCATGTTAGAAGCTCATGATTTTCACGCCACACACACGTCCATCTGACGCTCTGACTGAAGCGAGTGCACAGAAGAAAGCTTGATAACACACACTGCCGTTCTTCTTAATCTTATCACCTTCAATGCTGGAAAAAAGTCTCAAAGGTCAGCAGAGTTCAAGTTAAGAAAGCAGTTTTGATTCTGTGCAGTTCTTCCTTAGGCCCATTTTAAGGAATCATGGCTGTGTCTAAATTCTATTGGCCTTTTTCTTTATAAAGTGCTTCCAGTATCACACAGGAAGGTCAAACTTGCCGACTTCTGTACAAACCGACCCATGAAGGAATATGAAGCAATATCAGGTAGGTACACAGTACAACAGCCACAATGAGAAGGTCATTCAGTCGTATGAAGAGCTTAGGACACTCCTTTGGTGGACCATGTTGATGAAGCAGCTCACACATAGTGGTCAAGTGGTGGCATGTTTCAGTCTCACTGTTAAAATGATGCCGGTAAAAACACAGTGCGTCAGTGAGGCAGAGCTCAGTCCCTGCAGGATCAGTCTCTCTGCTCTCACAGAGCTGCAGTTTGATCAAGGAACGGCTCCTCCGGGGGCCAACCATTGTTCCCAGGCTAGTGTCCGTGCTGCGGGTGCTGGTTGTGTTGGTTGTTGGCGGGGTGGTTTGGGGGCAGTGGGGGTCCGTTGACACCAGGGTGGTAGAAAGCACAGTTGCTCTCGTACCGGCAGCTGCCCTTCATCATGAAGTGACGACACACAGGCCTCTTGGACATGTCTGACGAGAGGAGAGAACAGCGTTAGCATCACATCACACACTCACACTTTTCCAAACTGTGCAACACCCTACCAGGAAACATCAGAGGCCAACTCAGTGGACGTAAGTGTATTATTATCATTGTTTTAGTTATTTATTATATTGTATTTATTCATTTTGTATTGAATCTTCCTTTATTTTCCTTATTTATTTTACTGTTAAGTATTTACCTCCTTGTGTCCCTTGGAATTGTTATATTACACTTTTATGCTGCATGTGTGAAAAAACTATTTGACCTTTGACCTATGGTAAATTACATGTTCTCAGTTTTAACTTGTGTCATGTTGTTAAAGTTCTTTGAGCTGCTTCTGGTGTGTGAAAAGTGCTATACAAATAAAGCATTATTATTATTAATTTGAATCTCTCACTGCACCAGAGTTCCCGTTAGAATATGTTTTCGCCGGTCAACATGTCCGTTAAAGTTTAAATCTTCCGGACAAAATTAGAAAAGTACCGGTCAAAGGTCTTCTTTGTTATTTATTGAGCTTTAAAACAAATTGAGATGATTCGATATTAAACAAACTAATTATAGTAGATTAACTACATTATTCAAAAGTGTTCAGTAATTTACAATAACACGGGCATAATAAACGGAGCGCTCTCCCTCTCCTGACAGCCCGTCAGTATCATGCAGCTCGCGGATCAGTAATGAGTGACCCGACAGTAAAACTAAACATATCTATAACTAGTTCAGGTAGTTTGAGAGGTCATTAAAATAGCTACGTGTGATATTCTAACCTGAAGTGTGTGTTTTGTCCGCTCACCGCTGCATGTGATCATGCAGAGCTGCGTGTCGACTAGTCAGCAGCAGCTGATCTCTCTCGTCAGATTAGACTTCACTCGCGTTTATGTCCATATCGATCAGATCCAGCTAGTTCTAGCTAATGATAGGACTACCTGCTTATTAAAAGACACCTAAACAATAAGTGTCGCTATGCAACTGGGTGAGGCCACAAAGTATAGCGCAGCATTATGCATTTGTTTACATGCCCACCGGAACCCGAGGCATTACCAACAGATCAACGCACAATTAGGCCTGTCGCGATAATCGATAAATTGACTTATCGTACGATAAATAAAAATGGACTCGATAACTTTTCTGAACTCGATTAATTGCCGTTTACATAAGGATGTGACCAGCATTTTAGCTAGGAGCGCTGTGGCTACCGAACACACGCGCTGTGAGGGCGGCTGACACACAGCCAGGTCAGGACCTTTATATATACAGTCTATGGTCAGGACACTCCGCGTGCACGTGCAGCAGCCAAATTAATAATATAGCGACAAGCGGGAGACAACGTGTGACTTACTCGCGGGGAATTTAAAGTGAAATGGAATTGGATACAAAACCTAACTACACATCTCGATTCTCCGGTGTGGCAGTATTTTGGATTCAAGCCAAATCAACGAGGCGAACCTACGGCCTTCAATGACCCGGGCGGTGTGTCGCATTTGGTTAAAAAAGGTAGCGACAAAAGCAGGCAATACCACGCATTTTAAACTACACCTAAAACACAACCACCCCATACCATTTTCCCAGCTGGGAGCAAACACGGCAGCTGGAGATGGAGAGCCCCCACCTTCCTGACAGTTTACAATCAAAGATGCATTTGCCCGACAATGCAAACATGTTGCTGTTCCTTGCTCGAAAACTTTGAAAAACAGATTTGGATAAGGCCTGTTGAGGCCTCTGGGTCTTTGTATGGACAGTGGACTGTACACTTGACTGTTGTTTTAAGGAGGCTTTCTTTGCTTGTGAGATAATGTGTGCTCATATTTATTTATATCTATTAGGGATGTAACGATATATCGAATATCGCGGTAAATAAATGTCTCAATACCGTTTGACAAATACTGACAAAATCTACCGCGATTTTGTTTTGTTTTATAATTATTATTTTTTTAATCCTTTATTCAACCAGATGGTCCCATTGAGATCATCAATCTCTTTTTCAAGGGAGACCTGTCCAACATGGCAGCAAGTAGGTTACAACATGAACATAAAACAACAGATAACAATAAAGGACATCATATTTACAGGGCTACATGTACATACCTAGAGACATTGACAAGTACCAACAGTATATCTATATCTCTGTCAATAAGCCTCACTTTCTTGGCAAACACTGTATTGTTTTTGAAGTGGTGGAGAGACAATGCACAGTTTGACCCACTGCTGTCACCCATGGCCAAAGCATATCTCTCTGTCCCAGCAACATCAGTACCAAGCGAGAGAGTTTTTTCCACAGCAGGGGATATTGTAAACGCCCAAACATCCCAGCTTCTACCTGGAAATGTGGACATGCTCATATTCCTGAAAGATAACCTTGATGACGCTGAGTGAGTGAGTGAGTGAGTGAGTGAGTGAGTGAGTGAGTTAGAGTTAAGTTACTTGAAAAACTAAAGTGAAACTTGATTTATTCTATTGCAGGGTCTGATTATTATATTGTTGACACTTTAAAATACTACTATCCTACTAAAATGCTGTACAAATCTGATTTATTATTTAATAAAGAAAAAAAATTCAAGTAAAATAAAAAATTCACATTTTTTTCCTTTATTTTTCAATATCGCGATAAATATCGTACCGTGGACTTTTTATCGCGATATTATCGTACCGTGAGTTTTTGGTATCGTTACATCCCTAATATCTATAAATAATATATATAGATAGATAGAGAGAGAGAGCTCTATTTTCCAGCCTGACTATTTAATTTATTGTTTTGGTTGTGTGTGATTTAATTAATTTATTATTATTTAATTTATTTAATTTATTTATTATATATTTTAATATTATTTCACATTTCATTTGCAATGTTGAATGTTCAATACAAAGTTCTGTTTGAAAGGATGTACTTGAATTATTATTATATATGATCATTATGTCAGTGGTCTAAAATGGTCTTACAACGGTGCCGACAATATTATCGTTTATCGCAATAATTTCCAGAAAAATTGATCATCCAACAAAATGTATTATCGTGACAGGCCTATGCGCAATCAACCCATACAGGACATCTCTTTCTCCACATTACGTGTTTGTCCCACATACCATTCATGTTGTTGTGTCCTCCTCTGGGCCCCCCTCGTCCTCGGCCCCTGAAGCCCGGCTCTCCCCCCCCACGGCCCCGCCCTCCTCTGTGGAAGTGGCCCCCCCTGGGCGGCCCTCCTCTCATGGAGTCGTCTCCCCAGTAGTTCCCGTTGTCTCCTCGGCCCTGGCCCGGCGGCGGCCCCATCATGCGCGGGCCCCCGCCGCTGTTGAACGGGGGGCCGTGGTTGTGCGGAGGTGGAGGGTGGTTGAAGCGGGGAGCGCCGGGGGGGTTGTTGGGGGGGTATCCGCCATTCATGGGCATCGGCATGTGCATGTTCATGTTGTTCATGCCCGGACCGTGACCCAGCAGACCCGGGTTGACTAGAGAGAGACAATAATGATGAGTCACAGAACAAGCAAAGCATGCTGGGACAGCAAGAAAAGATGGGAGAATTAGATGGGAAGTTTACCTGGTGGAGGTCCGTTGGGGTTCTGGTTCTGGGTCTGCTGCAAGGAGCCCAGCAGCTGTTTGATCTTGTCGGAAAAGTTGGGCTGCTTGATCAGGTCTTCAGTCGATTGGTTACCAGAGGCGCCCTAAAGATACACACAAACACACATTAAATACACAATACAGCTGCAAACCCAACTGGGCACATCACATCAGTGGTGCCCGGCAGAGGGTCCAATCCGACCCACGGGTGACTTTAGATCACAGAGAAGACATTAACTGCTATTTTCCCGACTTTTATGTTTTTTGTATGCATACATTTCCTTCACAAGGCACCTTCTTCCTGAATAGCCCCCACTTTAGTCTGTATGCTGGTGTGTGAGGATTACTGCACAGATGTGGAAGTTAATGTAAAATAGTTGTTTAGAAAGTAACATACTATATCTTCATTATCAGTTCCAGGTACCTGTGTCTAGATGTTTCTCTAGACACACTGTTCCGTACGTCGTAATGCACATACGTGACTCGAAATCAGTCGGAAGTCGCAACGGCTCATTTCAAAATAAACGTGGATTTGCGTAAACAAATAGTTTCTCTGGGTTCGGGTGTTTTGTTTGATTTGAAATAAACAAAGTCTTGGCTTTCAGAATGTGAAACTTTTACTTCCAAAATCACACGATAAATACATGTTTGAAGCTTGTAAAGGGAAGAAGACAGCTCTCACTCGCCACTCTGCTCTTCCACAGCGCCGCTGACATTATGAATGTAAGAGTATAGTAATCATAGATAACACGGCAGGGTCCGTTACCGTTTGTTTTCATCTGATTTCAAATAAACAAAGTCTTGGCTTTCAGAATATTAAACTTGTTTCGGCAAATTCAGATGATAAATACAACTTTGAAGCTTGTAACGGCATAATTCCAAGCGGAGAACGGAGTAACTTGACGTCACAGCAGGCATAACAACAGCCGGTGTTTCTCCTGAGTGTTTTCAAACACAATACGCACCAACGCAAAAATACACAAACACACACACTTCCCCCAGACCAGTAATCCAAACGAACATATTTTCCCTCCGTAGTACTTTGATCATTTGCTCCGCTAATAACCAATCAGATCGATGGATTCCAGAGAAGAGGAAACTTTGAAGGCCTTTTTCTCAAAATGAGGACTCGGTGACAGTCATTATATAATGTGACATATTTCGCTTAATATTTGGAGTACAACAAAAACAATCCTGATATCATTAGAAAGCTAGGAATCTCCTCTTTCCAGCAGTGTAGACAACTCAAAACAACTCTTCGGGTCAATGCGACTGATTTCGATAGAGCAGGTCACATGTGTAAATGATAAACTGAGACACAATACTGTTGAAATTGCACTTATTTTTCAGGTTGTTCATAAAGTTTGTAAAAAGATAGTTCATTAAATGTGAACATCTTCAGAATGTACTCTTTTGCTCCTAAACAAAGCGAACCGGTTGGCGTTGTGGTAAGTTATAGGTTATTATGCTGGGATTTGACTGGTCCGGCACACTTGAGGAAAAATGTGGCTGCATGTGGCCCCTAACCTAAAATGAGTTTGAGACCACTAGACTACATATTGAATGTGTATTTTGATTAGCGCGTTAAAAAAGGAAACCATGATGATCATGATTGTAAAATAGTATGTGAAAGCTTCTCCTGACGGTTCTCACCATGATGGAGGTGAGCAGCTCCTGCACGTTGACAGTGGGAGCCACAGGGCTGCTGACGGGGTTGGTCTGCGGGCTGCGGGAGCTGTTATTCAGGTTGCCCATGAGGTTGGCAAGGACAGGAGGCAGCTTGGAGCTCTCGCCCGGGGCCATGGAGCCCGGCTGGGTGTCCATGGGCTCCGCGTAGCCATCATCCCCCATGGAAGAGTCCTGCAGGGGACACAGTATCACACACATTACACAATGTGTCTAATGAGATACAGTGTGTGTGTGTGTGTGTGTGTGTGTGTGTGTGTGTGTGTGTGTGTGTGTGTGTGTGTGTGTGTGTGTGTGTGTGTGTACTGACCTCATCCAGTGGGATGATTCGGGGGGGCATGGGTTCATACGGCTCTGGGTCTGGTTCATGTGGATTGTCCGGCACACTAATGATAAGAGAAAGATGGAAATGATTAACACTGCGACTCACCCCCTGACTTTATAGCCCATCTTTTTTAAACACATGAGCCTAGAAGCATCTGATCCTGTTCCCTACCTGTCTTTGGTGAGGAAGATCTCCTGCAGGATGCCCATCTCGCGGTCTCTCTGGGTCAGTTTCTCTGTGCTGTTGGCCCCGGCACTGACCAGGCAGCCCGTCAGCGTCAGGGGCCTCGGCGGGGACCAGGGGACCCTCTCCTCCATGGTGTCATGGGAGAGGCGGCGGGCCATCTCAAACGTCTGCCTGTCCATCATCAGCTCCCGTTTGGCGGCCTCACCAAAGTCCTTAATCTTGTTGACGTTGACTGTGTAAGATGAAAATGAGGTTCATCATTTTGTCATACTGTAATAACTGTGTTTTACAGCAATCACCACTCGACATTGTGCAATAGGAAGCATGCGCTGTACCTCGCTCTGTCTCATCCAGGTCAAAGTAGAAGTAGTGTTTGAGCTGCTCCTCCTCCGCCCAGTGGACCGTCTTCTTCTTCTTGCCCTTCTTGGTCAGACTCTCCTCCTCCCCCCGAGGTTCTGCCAGCGCGTTAGGCGTCTCACCTACAAACAATAAGACACAGTAACATTGAGCACACCCTCATTATGAACAAATGTCTTCACAACTTCATACAATTCCTGTTTGCATCTCACATATTTCTCTATTAGTACATTAAGCAGTATTTTATTGCACTCTACGGCATTTCATTTAACATTCGATGTACATCTTATCCTATTTCACTTGCATATATTGAACTTCTCCTGCATTAGTCTTGCTGCATTCTCTTGCACTATTTTATTTCTACTCTCTTTATTTTTGGCACTATTTCTATTGATCTACAACATCAGGAAGATGCGTCCCCAGCTGACACAGAAAGCGACGCAGGTTCTGGTCCAGGCTCTCGTCATCTCACGCCTAGACTACTGCAACTCCCTCCTGGCTGGTCTACCTGCATGTGCCATCCGACCTCTGCAGCTCATCCAGAATGCAGCGGCTCGTCTGGTTTTCAACCTTCCTAAATTCTCCCACACCACTCTGCTCCTCCGCTCCCTTCACTGGCTTCCGGTAACTGCTAGAATCCACTTCAAGACACTGGTACTTGCTTACCATGCGAATGGATCTGGCCCTTCCTACATCCAGGACATGGTTAAACTGTACACTCCAGCACGTGCACTACGCTCTGCATCAGCCAAACGACTCGCTGCACCCTCGCTGCGAGGGGGACCCAAGTTCCCATCAGAAAAAACACGTGGGTTTGCTATCCTGGCTCCAAGATGGTGGAATGAGCTCCCCATTGACATCAGGACGGCAGATAGCTTGCACATCTTCCGGCGCAAACTGAAAACTCATCTCTTTCGACTCCACTTCGAGCGATAGAACTATTAACAAAGCACTTTATACTAATAAAGGACTGGCTTATCTAAAGCCAGTTGAGTAGCACTTGAAATGTTTGGCTCTATGAAACCTGATGTACTTATATGATTCTGTTTTCTTCAAGGTTGTGTCTTCCTGGTCGAATGTACTTATTGTAAGTCGCTTTGGATAAAAGCATCAGCTAAATGCAATGTAATGTAATGATCTTTTTATTTAGTTGTAGGTAGTGTTCATTTCGTCAGCTATTTTTTTATTTAGTTTTAGTCTTAGTCCTGTGTTAAATTTCCTTTTTAGTTTTAGTCATATTTAGTCACCTTCATCCTGTTTTTATTTAGTCTTATTTTAGTCGACTAAAACAGTAACCATTTTAGTCTTATTTTAGTCAAAGAAAACTAATTATTTAGTCTACTTTTTGTCAATGAAAACTGTTGAGTCTTTTTTAGTCATCAGATTATATAGAACATTTCAGTCAAACTAGTCGAGCCAAAACCGATCATTTGTCATTTTAGCATATATAAATAAATAAGATTATATCTTGTCCTTATTTGATGAAAAACACAGGTTGAATGATTAAGAAGCTTTGCAGAGAGTATCTGGTCAGGTTTGTGGTGTTTTTACCAGCTGTGTTATGGCCACATTGCTTCCCTTCTGATAAAACAATGCATTCGCTTTTTTTCTCCGCCTCATTGAAGCGAAAATGGGCCCAAATATCACATCGTTTCTTTCTCCCAAGCAGTGGTGGCTTTAGACTTTTTCGTTGTCAGTCATTTTGACGGACAGGATCGTAACATTTCCGTCATAATCCATTATTATCCGTCGAGTGCACAATTTATCACTCACTCGCGCTGACGGGGGGGTATTCGGTTAACGCGAGTGCGACCACTGCTCCCAAGACCTGTTGTTGCCATTTCATTTTCTGTTGAATAAGGTTAGTTAGACCTTGAGTTAGACCCGAGTCTTCCTGACAGTTCACAGTGTGCCGCTGCCCGGTGTAATTCAAATCTACCGCCGCGCGCAGCACAGACACACAGCTGCTGCCCTGCCGCAGCACGGACACACAGCTGCTGCCCAGCCGCAGCACGGACACACAGCTGCTGCCCTGCCGCAGCACAGACACACAGCTGCTGCCCAGCCGCAGCACAGACACACAGCTGCTGCCCAGCCGCAGCACGGACACACAGCTGCTGCCCAGCCGCAGCACAGACACACAGCTGCTGCCCAGCCGCAGCACACACACAGCTGCTGCCCGGCCACAGCACCGGAAATGGAACTGCTGGGAGAAAAACTGACTATCAGAGATGTAACGTTATGTTTGATAATATTTCGTCTCCTCATTTTTCGTCAACGAAAGTAAAGAGAGATTTTGGCATAGTTTTTATTTAGTAAACTACATTTTCGTCTCGTCACTTTTCGTCAACGATATTGCATGATGATTTCATTACAGTTATTGTTTACTGCCGTCGGTGCCGTCTCGTCATCGTCTCGTTTTCGTCATGGAAAAAAAGGTCGTTGACGAACATATTTCGTCATAGTTTTAGTCAACGAAATGAACACTAGTTGTAGGTCTGATATATATTTATGTTGCATTGTTGGAGGAGCTGGTGACTGAAGTGTGTCCTTGCATGTCTACACTGTGCATATAACAATAAAGCCCTTTGAACCCTTTGGACCTTTGAATTAATCCAAAGAAAAACATCACAGAGCATGTGTGAGGACTGACCGTTGTCAGAGGCCTCGGGCTCCTCCGAGGGGACGGGGGTCCCCGGCCGATCTGGCTCCAGGATGTCATCCGCAGGCGTGATGGAGGCAGCTCCTTCAGGAGATGAAGGTTTAGTCGGAGATGAAGAGTACACAGCGGGTTTGCTGCTGTCAAAGGGGTTTGCCTGAGAACAAAGAAGGAAGAGAGGGACGTTTGGTTACATTTTCTGAGAACCTGGGAAACAAACTAAAATAATACATTCAAAATAAAATATATACAAATTCTGAGGAAGTTTTGGACTGACAATGACCATAAAAGATTCAAATAAAAACATTCTGAGGCATTTTGGCTATAATAACTACAAATTAAATGATAGACAATGATTTTTAGTATGTTTTGGACTGAAAATGTTATTATTAGATACAAAATAAAAACGTTCAGAGGCTATTTTGGACAAACATTGGCCATAATAACTGCAAATGAAATGGAAGGAAAATGTTCTGAGTGCGTGGACTGACAATAGCCAGAATACAGACTGACGGTACCTTGTTAGACGTGGGGGACACAGCCTTGTTCCCAGCTGGACTCGTCGGAGCAGACTTCTTCTTCTTGATTTTGACCCCGGGCACTGGAGCAGAGTTCAGAGCATCGAGGAACCCGGTGCACTCCATGGCTGCAGGGAGAAACAGGAGCGGTGAGCACAGCTACATCACTATTATCTCTTTTATATATCATTTAAATGTTTCTCTGAACGTACGTTGAGCTGGAATGAGCTTGATCTTGATCTCTTTGGCGGAGTTGATGGTTAACGGTTTGTATTTCTTCTCCAGAGGCGGGGCTTCTGTTGGACCAGAACTGAAAAATAAAGGAAACAAGTCAGTACTCTGATCCGCCACCGGAGGGCAGCGACGAGACAGCTGCAAGAATACACAACAGACAAGCAGATATGGGGGGGCAGCAGTACCTTGGCCTCTTGAGGACAGGGGGCTTGATGTTGTACTTGTCCCCCAGCTGAGGGGCGACGGGCGTCTTCTTAGCAGGGGCTGGGTTGGGGGTGTCTATTTCCAATCCTACTCAACACACAACATATTTCATCTCTCATACAGAACTTATAAAAACAGAATTCACTTCCTCAGTGCTCAGCGTCAGGTTTACCTATGGAGCGGATCTTGGTGTGGCTGGGAGCATGAGCTTTGGGTTTCTCCTTCTTCTTCTCCTCCTCCACCACAATCTTTTCCTTCACCTCCTTTACTGCCACCTTGGCCTCCTCTTTCTTCTTCTTCTTATCTGCAAGATAAATTATCACTGGTGTTAAGTAACCGAGTACATTTAGTCAAGTACTGTACTTAAGGTACTTATACTTCACTTGAGTATTTCAATTTTTTTGAAAAGGTAGATGGTGTACTTCTACTCCACTACATGTATTTAATCCCTTTAGTTACTTCACAGATGTGGATGAATGATGTGAAATATAATCAAGTGTTAAATCAGACTTTAGTTCCACCTGGAGTAAATCCACCAGCTACCCTGCAGTATACAAAGTCATTCAAACTAGCTGCACCTTTACCAGCTTTGAGAACACTTTCATGATCAATCATTATAAAACATATCATATATATTATTCTGAAATGGACCAATCTGCACAACGACTACTTTTACTGTCTTTCACTATATTTTGATTAGAATACTTTTCTACTTTCACTTGAGGAACATTTTGAATGCAGGACTTTTACTTGTAACAACAGGGTATATGCAGGAAACCTGAAGTCAAATGTAAAACCTTTTAAGACCTTTTTTAAGACCCTTTCCATACATTTTAAGACCTCATCGCCACTTCGAGTTTTAACCGGTTACCTTGGCGACACACTTTACCTCACATTTACGACAGTATGGATTGAAAGATAGCACAACTAAACAGCTTGAGATAACTCCATATCATAATTCAGATAGAACAAAGCACAAGAGAATGAATTGTGTGACTAACCCAATGCAAGGTTTATTAGAAAAAAAACCCATTAGGCATTGTTCCCAAGAGATAAAACAAAAAACGATAAATATGTTAAGACTTTTCTCGTTCTTAATATAGACTATATTTAGGGTCGATATGTGTTGACTTCACTTTAAAATAGCAGATCTCTGTGACCGGATATAGTTCGGCTTAGTGAACATGTGTCTCTTCCTTGGAGGAGCAGCATCGGCCGGACTCCGCTGCTCCTCCGTGCAGAGAGTCTGCAGCGGTGTGTGTCAGCGACGTGCAGTCAGGGGAGGCACGGATTGGCTATCGGGAGAGTCGGGACTTAAACGCCGCGGCTTTCTGGCTAGCACTTAGCATGTGGGACCGGACAGCTTTGATCCCCATCGACAGTGGTGATTCTAGAGTCTGTGGGCCCCTCGAACCAGCTTTCATCACCATCAGTGGCCCCAACACACTCCCCCCCCCCCCCCCAGAGCGGAGCAAGGCAACGAAACTTAAAATAAGAAGTAGCATTTGACTGTGCGCTATGCATGAGGCCGCCTGGAGGGGGTTTCCCGACATGTCGTTGCAGTAAATGAAAGGGTGTTTCATGTTGTCGTTGCTGTGGACCTTCTTAATACCTTGGAAAATGCCGTTTAATACTTTTTAATAGCCTTAATTTTCGCTAAATTGATTTATCAACTTTTAATACTTTTTAAGACCCCGCGGACACCCTGAACAAAGTATTTCTACACTCAGGCTCTTCTACTCAAGTACAGGATGTGAGTACTTCTTCTACCTCTGGAAATGATTAGTGTAATAGCAGATAGGAGCCATGGTGAGCACAGACAGACATTTGACAGGTACATGATGGGTGTGTACCTGCAGGAGAGTTAGCGCTGGACACACTCTGGGAGCGGATGGTAGCCATCCAGCCGTCCACGAGCACGGTCGCCAACTTCCTCAGCTCTAAGGGTGACAGACAGGTTTATTAATATACATAATACACACTACTAATATATCAGGATACATTTCGTGTTTAATGTGCAAGCAAACTAACCTTCTGTATCTGCAGTCTTACTCAGCTGCTTCACCAGCTTGGCGGTGTTGTTCTGGGGGAAGATTAAGGCACAAACAGGAAGTTAGAGACTATAGTTCAACAGAGTCCTGCAGACATTACTACTGCCCAACACCCACCTGTTTGAGGTGGTCCACTTTGAGAGGGAGCTTCTGCAGGGTGAGCAAGATGAGCTGCAGCACGGGGGAGTTGTTGGTGGTTTTGGAGTAGGTGAGCCAGGCGTTGAGCATCCTGTAGCCCCCGACTCTGATAAACCTGATTGAAGCGGGAACAAATGATTAATAATGGAGGATGGGGAACACTTGGTGTAGGGAGAAGTGTGGAAGGTGTAAGAATAATTGCCATGAGGAAGCCATAAAAATAACCTATATAAAAAAGTGATTAAAAAAAAATAACAAACTGACTCAAGCTCTCAAACTGACCAAATTCTATAACTTCCTGTTTTTACATCACATTTAGCTGACGCTTTTATCCAAAGCGACTTACAATAAGTACATTCGACCAGGAAGACACAACCTTGAAGAAAACAGAATCATAAAGTACATCAGGTTTCATAGAGCCAAACATTTCAAGCGCTACTCAACTGGCTTTAGATAAGCCAGTCCTTTATTAGTATAAAAGTGCTTTGTTAATAGTTCTATCGCTCGAAGTGGAGTCGAAAGAGATGAGTTTTCAGTTTGCGCCGGAAGATGTGCAAGCTATCTGCCGTCCTGATTTCAATGGGGAGCTCATTCCACCATCTTGGAGCCAGGTTTCTTGAGAATTGCCTGCAAAACAGCTGTTCTTTTGTAGGAATGAATGTTTACCTAAGAACAAATCATTTTTAGACAACTAAATATTACAAGCACTTTAAAACTCTGAACAAATATTATTACAGGGTATCTGCAAGAATCCTGAAGTCAAATGTAATTCCTTTTAAGACCTTTTTTAAGACCCTCTCCATACATATTAAGACCTCATCGCTACTTTGAGTTTTAACCGGTTACCTTGGCGACACACTTCACCTCACATTGACTATATACAGCATTGATTGTCCTTCCTCCTTATCTTCCAACCATTTGGACGCAGACTTGCATTTCCCCATAACGATGTTGTTTAACAACCGGCGTAAACGGACCTTCGCGCTATCAAGCAGTGAGCGTGCGATGTCCTGTTCAGATGACGTCAAACCCAACGGGATGCCATCAATAAACTACACAGAATCACACTACACACCTACGCAATGACTACATTCAGGCACACTGTAGAATACAACCTCTTTGGACCATTGATATACTTATTGAAGACAAGCTACAAAATGTAATACCTTGGAAAATGCCCTTTAATACTTTTTAATAACCTTCATTTTCACTAAATTGATTTATCAACTTTTTAAGACACCTCAAACTTGTATCCACCCATTACAAACAATACATTGATATATACAGCATGCAGAGTGGAAGTGAGGCCTACCTGTTGAGGATATCATGGGATTTGGTCTGCAGCAGGATGCTCAGGTACATACACCTACTGACCATCTTAGTAGTAGCTTTCATCAGGCTGCATGAAGAGAAGCATGTGTTAGGATATCATGAGTAGAAGACGATTCAAAAGAGACGGTTTCACAGTAAAGTCACAGCAATGTGTCAGAGCTACTTCCTGTTGCTCACCTGTACACCTTGGGGACTCCCTCCAGGCTGCGGAGCTCTCCATCCTTCCCCAGCAGAGACTCCACTCCCTTCAGGATCTCCCTGGGGTCCACGGGCCCCCCTGCCATATCTGAAAAACACATATCAAATCGTTAATACACATGGCAACAAGGCATGGGTGTATTATAGTTTCTAGTATGAACAGCAAATATTTGGAAGGTATAGACGGGCTGTTTCTGGAAGGGACTTTTTGCCTGCCAAATGGAAAGGGGAGCTACACGTCACAAAAACACACCCAGCCTATCGTTAGGATTTCAGACTTTTTTTGCTCCAAAAAGTTTCCAACAAGGAACTGTCACACTAGACAGACAACAATCTCTAATGCCAACGATCTGACAGGGCTCAGATTCCCCTCACCACTGAGACTGAATCAGCTCAATCCAACAACATGGTCCAAAGAACTGATGCTCTACACTCAAACCAGGAGAGAACTGGAGCTGGCCGACATGTCTCACCCTGACACACAATCTGATGAATCATTTGAACATCAGGCCAGAAGAAATAAGCATGGGTAGTTTGGTGACATGGCCACATACATATGACTATTGACAGGCAGCAGCGTTTCCCCCCTGCTACAGCTCCATGTTGCTCCTGCAGCCACACCTCCAGAGCAGCTGCTGCCCCGAACTCCACCCGCTTGGAGCAGTCCACCAGACGAGCAGTGTCCCCTCTCTGGGACTGACATGTAGAGGAGACTGATCTCATTTAAGAGTGATGCAACACGGTTTATTCCACTTCATTCTCTTTAAGAGGCAGCAGCGACCACAGAACACAACTGCATGTTACTGACATACAAAATGTTACACATTTACTGCAAACCCACTTGTTTTATTTAACTTATCACTCAATGGAACAGTGATTCCCTCATCATAAAGTAAATGAATACGATGTATTAATAGCTTTAACTATGATTTACTACTACATATATTGAATCAAGACACAAAAAAGACAAAAAAGTTGAAATGTCAAAGTTTGGTTAGAATAAAAATAGATATGACTTATTGAAAGAAATGTTACCGGTAATGATTGATCACATTTTTAATACCACACTTCTATCACAATCATTCACATTTGTGCAAAACTGCAAGTCAAACAAAAACAATGGGAACAGAAACGTCTTTAGTGTAAACCCCTCATGAGAAATCAGATGAAATGACGAAAACAATTAAAAAATAATTTAGATTATACAACCCAAAACATTTCAAATGAGATAAAGGTACTGTATGAATAATGAAATGCTTTTAAACTGTAAAATGAGTTTGTTATATCCTCAGATATGTTTAAGGAACCACTGCCAGCAGGACACTATCGGCCCCCTACAGGACACCTTATGATCACACTGACACTGAACTGACTGTGGACTTACCCAATAGAGAAAGCATTACTAATTCATAGAATGGTAAGTGCAATATCACATGACAAGAGTGACAAATAGTCACACGGTAATCTGACGGATAACAAACTAATGAATAAAAGGTGTTGGATGTGTAATTAATTCAATCAGTGTACTTGTTATCTTTAAAAAGTCCAAAGTGACCCAAATAGACAGCCAACAAAGGGTTAATTTGTCTTTATGTATATCTTCAATTAAAATGATTAAACAAGCATCCTAACAAAAAGGATCTTATTAAATATAATCAAACTGCTTCATGAGTTAATTGCTCGTGTCATATAAAGCATGCACATATTTTCCGCATGTTTTATGCGTTTTCTGATGAAACCGTCACCCTGCCACAACACGTATGAAGAACCTGCATTTCTGACGGAGTTCAATTCATTGGAAATGATGTGAGGAATCAGTTAGATCTTACCCGTGTAACTGTAGTAGAAGTTTTATCTAGTCTCAGACCTCCAAAAAACTGCAAATAACCCAATTCCTGCAAATATCACAGTTGTTACACGTATACACAAAATCTGTTTTAAGCATGGCCCTGGTTCAGTGGGGGAAAGAACATTATTTGTGTCCTACTGGTGTCTTCAGATATATATCACTGGTACATTATTGTAAACAAACTACTCTTCTAGAAAGAAAAAAAGATTTGCTGAATGAATCAAATAACAATATTAGATGCCCTTGGTTATATAAGGGCAGTTCAAGCAGCCTATAAAAGGCACGCGCTTAAGATGTCATGTGTCATAGCTTAAACAGGCCTGCTCCTGTCAGAGGGGGAGGCGGCTATCACAGCCTCCCTCCGTTAACCACTTCGACGACAACCCAATGTCGACACAAGCAACAATGGCTCTCCCTGTCTGGCAAAACCCGTGCTGGTGTGAAGGAAAACAAGTCGGCGAGGACCAGATATTTACTGAACCAACCAATGCGACAAAAAGCTGCATGTACTTTCTCTGCATTTCGGTTTTGTTAAAAAATAACTCCCAAATGTTGCTCCAAGAACACCGCCAGCCCCCGGAGCTGTCCGAAGACGAAAATCAAACCACAACCAATCCGCCATGTTTGACAATTCCGACTGTTTGTGCTTCGAAAGACCACTTCGCTAGTCATCCTGCAATCTTTATCCACAGATTGCCGAGTCCCTGTGCTTTAGTTATCGACATGTCAACACACACAGTGCTTCATAGAATATGTCCACAATCCTCAGGCTAACGCAATCTTTATGTATAGATTGTTGTGGGTATTCGTTCCGTGGAGCAGCCCCTACTAAACAAACCTGGCAAGCAAAAAGTCCGACTTCATTAAGCAGTAATTAAATTTCTATGCCTACGGCAATCTTTATGAGTAGATTGCTTATGGTTATTTTAGTAATAGACCTGACTATTTCGTTTTTGTACAACCCGTCCATTCCGTCTCACACACAAAGAAACGGAGCCTGGTGCCTCCGTCCACTTTCCTGTGTGAGCTCATACTATAACATTGTCTATATTCAAATTGTTTGCCAAAAACAAGCTAACTTACGGTACCGGCTAACCAGCTACCGCTAAGTAATTTGTCGATTTTTTAACCTAAATGTATCTCGATTCAATTTAACTTTAAAATCAACTTACTATTGACACTATAGATCCTCAGCGTTTCGGGTGTATTAGAGTGTGCTTTTCAGGCACTTATATCTCTTATTTCATCAAGTTTATATCGTCAACCTTCATGGTTTTAATATCAACTGAAATACTTCTTATGGGTGGGGCTGTTATAGTTAAAGGCTAGCCTTTCCTTCAGGAACAAACTTGAGGCAAAAATAGTAATCAAATGTCCAATACTTGAAGAAAAAATATGAATTTGAGTAGAGTTGTTCAAAGTCCTCGACGGATCAGTCTTCGCCAAAGCAAATTCATACCTGCAAAACACACAAAGAAACACACATTCAATGTCGACTCTTTCGACACATTTCATCGTCCTCCGTCTTTATCAAAGTCCTCTGTTGGTTGTTTAAAACATTCAATAAAAAAATCGCATTTTAGACGGAGAAAATGTTATAAATAAGTCTTGCTGTCTTTCTGACTTCACTTACCTCTGAACAAATCCAGGAATGAGCCCGGGCGGGAGGGACTTGGGTTTTATACCAAGTGACGTTTTTTACGTCACGAACAACGTTTTCCTTTGTGTTAGCGCTGAAACAAAATGGTAGATAGCCGTCCTTCACTGAGCTGCCATGGGCACAATGGCGTATCACACGTGATGGATACTAATATTGTGATTACCTCCACAGATTCACCTTCAAAGTGTTGCATATTTGTATAATTTCGTAGATACTTAAGACCCTCAACGCATTTTGTTGATTAAGCTGGATTTCGGTTATCATATTGTATATATATTTAGTTCATTATATTTCTTCAAAATGGCGACTGTCTGTCTGTCTGTCTGTCGCTGTCGGGGTTGATGCTTGATACTCACATGCGTCACTCTTAATGTTAATAATATTGTCAATTCCCAACAGAGTACAATTAAAAAGGACAGAATGTGGATTTACACACATCCACATACTTATTAATAATATACGTAGGAATCATACCATTTTAATATGAAATGTTACATAAAATAGGTGACCTTTCACCTTTCACCTACAACCCAAAACTGTGACAGAAAAAAATGGCTGCCTCCTTAACAAGCATCGCGAAGGTTCTGTGCCGTCTTTCGCCTTCAATTTTACAACAATTACGGCAGTATCAGGTATTTGAATCTACTGTACAGATGATATACAGATCATCCGATTCATGTACATATGTCTACGCTGTTTGTAATAAGGTTTACATATGTTAAAGGTTTGTCGCACAGTGAGCTAACGTGCCATGTAAATTAATCCAATGTAGCGCTACTGTGTTTGATAAGATTTTCTCAACAATACCCTCTCTGTAAAACCAAAGACATGTTGCACCTTGCCAAATAGCATGTATTGCATTGCAAACAAGAGTATTATTACTGTCAAATCAGCTTAATGTCAGGCAAGATAGCCATGTGTAGGCCGTGTTTACAGCTTATTTAATATGCATTTAGCTAGGGTGTCTGAAAGGACAGCCGAATTTGTCCAATTGTTTTGTATACCATGTGTTTATGTTTGGTTTGGTTTGCACTCTTATGCACTGCCACCAACTCTTTCCTTTTGAATCAGAATCGACGTTATTGCCCGTACGTTTACAAGGAATTTGCTTTGGTGTTTGTTGGTGTAAACATAAACAACATAAGGAAATAAATTGTAAGAGGAGATCAAAAACATAACTGTTATACAAAGAAAATAATACAAAAACACTATAACATTTTAGAAATGAATAAAGTATTTACACAAAATATAAATATAGAAAATATACTAAAAAACATATAACAATATGATACATATTAGATAGATAGATACTTTATTTATCCCAAGTTGGGGAAATGATTGTGTCACAGCAGCAAATGGACAGTCAATCTACAAAATTAACAACATTACTTAAAAATACAATAAAATAAAGATTAATATGAACAATTTAAACTGTAAAAAACGATATAAACATATCCTCAGTAACAAAATAATATTCAGAGGAGTATCTAAATAATATACAGATTAAAATAGATGACTCTCTAATATACCAATCTACAGAACATATAAACATAGTGCACTTTGTATTCTGTGTGTTCGCTGTGTATTTTGTAAATTGTGTCATTTCTAGTTTTTTATCATGCATTATTTGTATGCAGGCTTCTTGATTGATATTAAGCTATCTTTGGTTCTTTACTTGCGTAACAAATGTACATTTCGCATCTGTTGAACGAATAAAGGTATTTTGATTCTGATTCTATATACGTAAAAAAAAAAAATGGGAACAGTAGCTTGACATTTTAATTTAAATATATCCTGTGAGGAAGTGCAAGTAGGCTGAAATATGCAAGTACATTATGTGAACATTGTTCATGCTTATAGAGAGGGAGAACCTGAACACACTATGAAGCAGTGAGTTCTGGATAGGGTATCTAAATGAATTATGTTTGTCTTGACTTAAATACAGTGGCTTCATGCATCCATAACCATTTAGATGAAGCTCTTAGGGTTGTTGTGATGATGACGATGCTCAGCTGCTTTTCTCTTGCTTTCAGTCCTGTCTGCAGAGGCTTCCTGTCAGATCATACGGGGCCCTCTCTCCATTTGCACCCCCCAGTCACTTTTACTGCCAGGCAGCATCTCACCAGAATGATGCTGCTGCTCAGGCTCAGACCCTGCACCGCTACAAGGACAGACCCTGGGACTATCTGGAGAGTGAAGGTACTTAAAAGCAGTCTGTCACATCCTTTTTATTCATTGTTTATTATTATTTTAGTTTTTATTTAGTACAGTCCAGAGACACAAACAAGGACACAACAACAGTAAAGGGGAGATGACATTCCTATCTCACCACAAATACATTAATCAGAATCAGTTTTACTACCTTTATTCATTTTTGTGTTTTTATCTAATGAGTGTTATTACTGTTCTTTTATTATTACCTATCACAGCGCTCCACTTTCAATATAGTATTTGTCTTTTTTTGAAAAGTTAATTCCTTGTATGTGTAATAACACATACAAGGAATGAACTTTTCAATAGAATAAAGAAAAGACAGAAGAAACCAGTCCATAGGATCGCTTCAACTCTTCATATAACCAGGTTTACAGCTCAACACATTCCAAATTGTATTCCATTTCAACTTGTGTTTTGCCACCTTTAGATTGTTTGTGGCAATCATTTTTCCCAAAAGAAATTGCCTTTGCACTCTATTTTTCAAACACCTTCAAATCAGATCACTCCTAAATTGCATTTTTTTTTTAAATAAGTATTTTACCCAGAAGAATAATTGTATTTATTATCTCTGGACTATATTCATCCGGAAACCCAAATCAAATATTGAAAGATCCAATCCAAATGATCCAGAGTCCCAAAATGTATCAAAATCAGCCCAGTGAGAGTCCAAATATGGCCACTTTCCGGTTACAACTGACTTGTTTGATCCTGACAATGCCAGAAATGGATTCAGCATTCTCGATAACCCCCAAAACCCCTCCAAAATGGTCAGAATTGGCCGAGATATTTTTTTTTAACTATTGTCTGGGCAGTTTCTATGTGCTGGGGACCCCTACTATACATTTCTAACATAACACTTTGAGGTACTCAACATTTCCGGGTTCACAACAGGACTCTATGAGCTGGCAAACAGACTATTACCTGTGCTTGCTGTTACAATATTATTTCCTCATGACAGAGTACATTGAGAGGTATGGAACCAATCCAGTGTGGGCCGACTACAGGAGGAACCACAAAGGGGGCATCCCACCACAGAAGACACGCAAGACCTGCATTGTAATATGATAATCTGTCTTTCATTAGGTCTGAGCATCACATGTGTAAATCACCCTAACACTGCTTCTGTTTGTGTAGAGAGGAGACAAGGTATCTGGAAACCCGTGCCCAGTGTGTCGGGATTCAAACATCGTGGTCCACCATCAGGTGGGTTAGCATCTCCTTACAGCACCATAAACAAAGATACACTGGGTTCTATTATACATCCCTCACCACACCTGAACTACATGCTGTTTACCTGATCTGTTTGCATGGAAATGTAATTGTTGAAATATTGAACACTTTTTAGATACAAAAGGTAACACAAAGTGCTAAATACACATCAATACATGTACTATGTATAACAACCTTATTATGAGTTTATTCTAATCTCATGCCTCTGGCTGCATTGTTCTCTCAAATGAACTGGCACATTTCCCTTCAAAATGAAAAACCAGTACTGCAACCAGTGATTGTTAATGTTATTGAACAACCTTCTCAATATTTTCTTGACTATTTTAGAAGATTCAGAAAACCCCAAAAGCATGTCTGATGTTGATTTATCTGACAAACAGTCAAACATCAATAGATCATAAATGCAGCGTATATAATGTACATTTGATGGAGATACTTGGTGTTGAGATCCCAGGGACACTGATATTACAATGAATTAGCTTGATTTAGTTGTCCTCTCTTACAGAATGTGAAGCTGCTGCAGCAGTTCATCAGTCCCCAGACGGGGATGCTGTACGATCCCACTCGCACTGGTGAGTCCACAGTGAGTGTGTGTTGCTGCTGAATCCTGTCTACTCTTCCAGACTGCTCATGTTGTGTTTGGACTGTCTGCAGGTGTGTGTATGAAACAGCAGAAGAAGCTAAATGAGGCAGTCGGCACGGCGAGAGATCACGGTACGTACCACAAGACCCCTCAGCCCCAGGGTCCTTTGTAAATACGTCCTATTCCGCTTTTTTTAAATGTTCCCTTCACTGTATTGTGTCTTTAAAGGTTTCTGTGCATGTGAATGGTCTGCAAAGGCTACAATCTCAAAGTTCCCTTCCACACTTGTTTGTGTGCAAATAACCTCTAAAAGGTGACATAGTAAATCATTTAAGGGTTTTGTCCAATCTTGTGCTTCTGTAAGTTTCTTCAGTATTTAAAAACTGATGATTAACAATACTGCAACCAGCGATTGTTATAGTTATTATTTTGTTCAACTTTCTTGATAACTGCAAAGAATTGTGAAAAATCAACTTTTCATATTATTTTGAATTGCACATCTGCATCATTTGGAAACAATACCTAATTGCAGCTATATACTGATGTTAAAGGGGAAAAAAGTATCTTTACCAAACAAGGATTTTTCATCAAGTCTGTTGAAAAAATATTGTATGCTCGGCTCCACAATACTTAATTTAGATATTTCGCCATTACCAAATATCGTGCTTTCTGCAGCTGGATATTTGACTAGTCTATATTGCAATTTGAATGACTTTTGCTGCCCTGGGGCCATCCATGTTGAGATGGAAAGTATGCTTTGTAATTCAGATTTAGCAGGATTTTCAGAGTGTTTGTTTTTAAGCCAATATTGTAATTAAAGGTGTCTCCTGAAACCCAGGAGCACTTAGTCCTCACACATTCAGAGAGGAGAAACCTGTTGGAGCACTCACGAACGTCTTCCAGCTGGTTAGGCGACTTAAGATACAGCTTTATGTGTCGAAGGGTTTTCAAAACTGAGATGTTTTTGTAAATAACGGAAGCCGGCACTCAAACACTGCTCTCTCTTTCAGGCCTACTGCCCTTTCAGATTCCATATGTGGAGTTTTCAGGAGAGGACTACTCCAACTCCCATGATGCCGTGGGGATGCACACCACCTCCCCCGTCCCTAACCTCTGGAGACACCTGGTATAAATGGTATGGTGAAATAACACCTGATGAGCAGGAAGTGGCCAAAGTGAAGAAGACATACAAGGCATATTTGAAGTGACTGTTGAGTGGATGTTCGTCTGTTGGACCATGTACACCAAAATAAAAATTGCACAATGAAAAATGTTTTTATTTTATTGTTTTCCTTTAGTAGATCTTGACCTCCCTTGATATTTATAGAAATGTACACTCCACCACCATGCCTTAAAGATGTGACAGTCCAGTATAAAGGGGATAGATAGGTTTTATTATGCGTGCCGCTCTGAGGACATGCTCCACATGAAGTGTATTGAGGATGTGACGAGGGTCTCATGGGTTGACCTTGTTGACCATGGTCTCTCCTAGAGACTCCAGCACCTCCCTCTTGTAGTCGTCAAAGTCTCCATCGATCTGGACGACGGAGCGGTCCTCCACCACCCACATGGTGCACTGAGTCTCTGTGATGAGCCGGGCGTCGTGGCTCACGATGAGCACTGCTGCAGGGGGGGGGAGACATCTGTTAGTACTGAAGGAAAGACGGTGTTTTAAAGATCTTTTGAGCATTTTAATTCAGTCTGTTCGCATTGTCAAGCTTTTAAACAACTTCAATTGAGGACATACTAAGTCAAGTTAACCAAATCCTTCCGATCAGAACTTCCCCAAAGTCTCCTTTAGTTCAGCTCTGCAGCTGCTGACTGAATGTCTTTGGTTTGGAGTCAACTTTCACTCTTTCGGTTATTGTTGGTCATTTATACTTTTCAAACAAAACATTGCCTTGCTGTTGCACATTCAACCACACACTGTGAAACACCAGCTCCCCTCTGAACTCAACAGGAACCAACCAGTGCCCAGTATGACAAACCCAGGATGTTATTGTGTTACCTGGCTTAATAAACATTAAACGGTGCTACAGCACTGGTTAAAAACTCAGTAAGTTCACATGAAAGAGGCGAGGTTTGCAGAATATGCCCTGACAGCATCATAATTCACAAATTAAGAGTAAACTTTAATATTAGACAAGTTAGGAGAAGTTACATATCCATGAGCTAAACACATAATCCTGGATAAAAGCAAGAAAGAACAGAGGAAGGGAAGCTGGGGGAAAAAGGTGATTAGGACTAAGATATTAAAGTTAAAATCATAACTTTCAAATGTAATAATGGTCAGTCAGTCCAATTATTAAAACAATTCACAGTCTGCAATTTACTGCCAGCTGTCCATCCTGCATTTGGCAATATCAAATGGTTTGCTTTGAGCCTGGAATATGATTTAATTGCCTTAAACTTCTTATTTGTGTAATATTATTCGACAACCTGTGCACTGAGCTTTGATTGGTTATCTGGAATATAAGTGAACCGCCATCGTAGGACTAAAACCTGCGTTAACCTGAAGTTCCCTCAATCACCTTAAACCCTCCTCAGTACAGACCACTGCTGCCTGCTGGGCCTTAAGGTAGAGGGCTCTGGACCTACATCCAGAGAACTACTATTTCCATCTTGTACATGCCACACCATTTAACTGGTTTCTCCACTAATAACCAGTATGGTCACACGCGTCTTACAGAACATGCTTCTCACCTCCTTTATATTCATTGATGGCCTCCGATAAGGCATCGATGGACTCAATATCCAAGTTGTTGGTAGGTTCATCCTATAAGAGAAATGAGGTCAGTCAGTTGTAGAATTCATCCAGGTGTTCTGTGGGTTCAGCGTGGATATAAGTCTGATAGGCACGTACCAGGATGAGGACATCAGGCTGCCGACAGGACAGCTCAGCAAACACTACTCTGGCCTTCTGACCTCCTGCGGAGACACACCCAGACACAATGTTAAAAGATATTCACATCCTGTCAGCTGACATGTTGTCTGACGGTCCATGTTCATACCGGACAGTTTGGAGATCTGGATGGTGTGGGCGTGGCTCTCCAGGCCGAAGCGTCCCAGGCACTTCCTGCCGTCCTGGTAGGGAAGGTTGAAGTTTCTCATCAGGTACTCTGTGGCCGTCTCCTCCATGTTCAACTGATCAGCATACTGCTGGTTGAAGAAGCCCACTTTCTGCAGGAGACCAGAGACCCCGGTTACAAGTCTTCATCAACTGTTCAATAGGACATAAACTAGGTTCCAGAAAAACACTTTTAATGAATTCTGTTTTTCCATAGCGTTGTTTTTATTTATTTATTGTTTCAATTCTAAAATTGACATAAGAAATGGTTCAAGAGAGTAAAATATATAAATTGATTTATATTATTTAATGGGCAACCATTTATCTTCTTGCTGTTTTTGTTTATAGTACATTTATTAATTAGTGTAATTATTTTAGTTAAAGGTCATGCTTTTCCGGTTATTACCCGTCCCCTTGTGTTATGAAGGTTTTTCTGCATGGAAACGGTCTGCAGAGTCACAAACCCTCAAAGTACACCCTGTAGCGAGTAAAACTCTAACACAGAAAAGACGTGATCTATGCTGCCCCGGAACGCCTCGTTGAAGATTTCTCTTTTTCCATTGTTTTCTTCCTGGGTACAATGACCGTGGACCAATCCGCGGACTTCCTCACACACACACACTCAATCTTTTCTCAGCTGCAGCTCCGCCGATTTCTCCTCCCTGAGACGGCGGGCTGCGGTGAGGCTGTGAGTCTCCCAGCCAGGCTGCGGGTGTGTGTGCTCGGGCTGGGTTTCACTGTGTCTCGCAGACGGCCAGTGGGCTCACAGGGAGGGGGGGGGGGGGGGCAGGAGCTCCAACAAGCCGTGTAGGACAGAGAGTGAATACACATACTATACAGAGATGCTGTATGAGAAACCAATGTGAGTTTGGAAAATGGCACAATTTAAAACTATTCTCGTAGACCTCAACAATGGAATTATGATCAGTAGAAATTAAAGTAATTCTTTATGCTTTTATTTTGAAGGTAGTTTTGGGCGGTGGTGGGATTGGCACACCAGAATGAACAGATACCAGGGTTAGCACGAAGAGAGCCACAGGAAAGGCTGCAGGGCGAGGTTAATACGCCATTATATATATTATTATATTGGATCAATCGGAAATAAATGCTAAAAGAATATTCTTGCCTGGACTTCTCATTTCTCCTGCATAGGATCTGCTTACTGGTGCCCCAGCGGCAGTTTAATTTTGAGTTATGTTTAATTTCTTTATGATTTGTCACTGAACACTTCAATTTACTTAAGTATTAGGCATCCTTGATTTTTTTTTTTTTTAAATGTAAAAGTGTACATACAATGGGAAACAGAGCCTGTGTTATCCATTACTGCTTCAGTTCGCAGGCTGCAAATATGAGAGACTTTGTTTGCCTTTCAGAATATTGTAATCTTTTGCAAGTTCACGATACTTCCACATTTTGTTCAGCAGGGTGATCTCCACTTAATAACACCACTTTTATAATTGTAGAGTAAATGAACAGTAAATGACTAACGTGAGGCTATAAAAGAACCACTACGGTTGCATGGCTGCGCATCACCACCGCTTATTTTTATTTATTTCATTCAAAATGGAGAGATCAATTTCCCATGGGATGGATAGAGAATTACGATGCAATGATAAAAACATTATGAAAACCAATGCTAGAACAGTACATATTTCTGTTCACTTTCTGCCAGAGTAGTCAGTCTGCACAATGAGAGAGGGTCAGAGCAGAGACACATGATCCTTTACATGCAACCCATTACTCCCCTCAGGCTGGGGAGTAATGGGTTGCATGTAAAGGATCATGTAATAAGGATAAATTCTAACTGTATTTCCTTACTGTTGGGAAATCATTTGCCCTTGTGTCCTCCTTCGCCTCTGACGCAGCTGACCAGCCGTTATCTCCCATAAGGAGGGGCTACCCTAGCATAATGTTGATGTTGCCAGTTTGTGACCGGGCAACTCTCAGAGATAGTTATTGTTGTGGGACACCTGGAGCACATCCTTCTCGGGGTGTAGATGACTCCGAGGCATAAGCGGCAACAAAGTTGATTCAGTGTCCTCAGCTGTTTAGTCTATCTAATGAACAGTGTTTGGACTAACGCGTTACAAAATAACGGCGTTACTGTAACGCCGTTATTTTTGGCAGTAACTAGTACTCTAACGCATTACTTTTTAAATTCAGTAACTCAGTTACCGTTACTACATGGTGCGTTACTCCGTTAGTTTTTTTTATATAGTCAACAGCCAGGCGAACAGAGATGAGAACTGTACTTAAGTACAGTACTTGAGTAAATGTACTTAGATACTTCCTGTGTCACATGCGGAGACGGGCTGTGGGCGTGTTTGTGTTGTTTACTAACAAGACTATCATGGCGGCGGCGGAGCTCAAGTCTAGTTTCTCCACCTGGAGATATTCTCACTATTTCACTTTTGTCGAGCACAAAGAAAAGAACGTTTTAGTTAAATGTAAGTTGTGTCTTGGCAGGTCAAAGATCCTATCTACTGCCCAAACCAGTCATTCAAATCTCTTAAAACATCTGCAAAAACAACATGCTGGGAGGAAGCTAGTAGCCTAGCTAAGACCACAGAGACTCAGCCGACGCCACTCCACCTCCACCTAAGCAACAGCGGCTGGATTTTAACCAAGGGACTGCTAGCCAGGGAAAAGTGGATAAAGCCATTGCACGGTATGTTGTAGAACACATGCAGGCTATTGCTACAGTGGAGTCACCCGCTTTCAGGGAGCTAGTTAGCATGATAGCATGTCCGGGCGGCACACGGCATATGGGACGGAAAACTTTTTCCAACTACCTGGAGAAAGAATATACAAAAATGGAAAGCCAGCTAATATCGATGCAATCCAGATTGCATATAATGCATGTGAAGTTGATCAACAGATTGTATTATTCTCCAATGCAATAACAGTACTTAAATGAAGGCGATAAGGGAATTAATGGGAGCCCTTTTAGCAAGTAACGAAAACGTTACTTTTCACAGTAACGCATTACTTTTGGGTGTAAGTAACTAGTAATGGTAACTAGTTACTGGTTTTCAGTAACTAGCACAACACTGCTAATGAATAATGTTGATTATTCTCTCTGAACTAGTTAAAACCTGGAGCTACAGGAGGGGTCTTCAGAACTGATTGTGGCATCTCAACCGTGTGGTCAACTCGTGGCCCGTGACTTGTCTTGTGAATTCTCCGGCTGAAGCTCCAAATAAACCGTCAGTGTTTGCCATCAGAGCTCCAGCTCTCCTCGTGTCTCTCTCTGAGTCCTGACTCCATCAGAGCTCCAGCTCTCCTTGTGTCTCTCTGAGTCCTGACTCCATCAAAGCTGCAGCTCTCCTCGTGTCTCTCTGAGTCCTGACTCCATCAGAGCTCCAGCTCTCCTCGTGTCTCTTTGAGTCCTGACTCCATCAAAGCTCCAGCTCTCCTCGTGTCTCTCTCTGAGTCCTGACTCCATCAGAGCTCCAGCTCTCCTCGTGTCTCTCTCTGAGTCCTGACTCCATCAGAGCTCCAGCTCTCCTCGTGTCTCTCTCTGAGTCCTGACTCCATCAGAGCTCCAGCTCTCCTCGTGTCTCTTTGAGTCCTGACTCCATCAAAGCTGCAGCTCTCCTCGTGTCTCTCTCTGAGTCCTGACTCCATCAGAGCTCCAGCTCTCCTCGTGTCTCTTTGAGTCCTGACTCCATCAGAGCTCCAGCTCTCCTCGTGTCTCTCTGAGTCCTGACTCCATCAGAGCTCCAGCTCTCCTCGTGTCTCTCTGAGTCCTGACTCCATCAGAGCTCCAGCTCTCCTCGTGTCTCTTTGAGTCCTGACTCCATCAAAGCTCCAGCTCTCCTCGTGTCTCTCTGAGTCCTGACTCCATCAGAGCTCCAGCTCTCCTCGTGTCTTTCTTTGAGTCCTGACTCCATCAAAGCTGCAGCTCTCCTCGTGTCTCTCTGAGTCCTGACTCCATCAGAGCTCCGGCTCTCCTCGTGTCTCTCTGAGTCCTGACTCCATCAGAGCTCCAGCTCTCCTCGTGTCTCTTTGAGTCCTGACTCCATCAAAGCTGCAGCTCTCCTCGTGTCTCTCTGAGTCCTGACTCCATCAGAGCTCCAGCTCTCCTCGTGTCTCTCTGAGTCCTGACTCCATCAAAGCTGCAGCTCTCCTCGTGTCTCTCTGAGTCCTGACTCCATCAGAGCTCCAGCTCTCCTCATGTCTCTTTGAGTCCTGACTCCATCAAAGCTCCAGCTCTCCTCGTGTCTCTCTGAGTCCTGACTCCATCAGAGCTCCAGCTCTCCTCGTGTCTCTCTGAGTCCTGACTCCATCAGAGCTCCAGCTCTCCTCATGTCTCTTTGAGTCCTGACTCCATCAAAGCTCCAGCTCTCCTCGTGTCTCTCTGAGTCCTGACTCCATCAGAGCTCCAGCTCTCCTCGTGTCTCTCTGAGTCCTGACTCCATCAAAGCTCCAGCTCTCCTCGTGTCTCTTTGAGTCCTGACTCCTTCAGAGCTCCGGCTCTCCTCGTGTCTCTCTGAGTCCTGACTCCATCAGAGCTCCAGCTCTCCTCGTGTCTCTCTTTGAGTCCTGACTCCATCAAAGCTCCGGCTCTCCTCGTGTCTCTCTGAGTCCTGACTCCATCAAAGCTCCAGCTCTCCTCGTGTCTCTTTGAGTCCTGACTCCTTCAGAGCTCCAGCTCTCCTCGTGTCTCTCTCTGAGTCCTGACTCCATCAAAGCTCCAGCTCTCCTCGTGTCTCTTTGAGTCCTGACTCCATCAAAGCTCCAGCTCTCCTCGTGTCTCTCTGAGTCCTGACTCCATCAGAGCTCCAGCTCTCCTCGTGTCTCTCTGAGTCCTGACTCCATCAGAGCTCCAGCTCTCCTCGTGTCTCTTTGAGTCCTGACTCCATCACAGCTCCAGCTCTCCTCGTGTCTCTGAGTCCTGACTCCATCAAAGCTCCAGCTCTCCTCGTGTCTCTGAGTCCTGACTCCATCAGAGCTCCAGCTCTCCTCGTGTCTCTTTGAGCCCTGACTCCATCAGAGCTCCAGCTCTCCTCGTGTCTCTCTGAGTCCTGACTCCATCAAAGCTCCAGCTCTCCTCGTGTCTCTTTGAGTCCTGACTCCATCAGAGCTACAGCTCTCCTCGTGTCTCTCTGAG